GCATGGGTTTTTTTATAGTATAAGATAATATAATACTAATAGTTCTTATTTCATTCTTAATCAATTTTTACTGAAAAACAGTAAAAACTCTATTTGTAGCACATTGTAATTTACCTTAGGCTATTTAATGCGTAAATTTCTATTAGAAATATTACAAATACACAATAAATATACCGGTGATAGAAGAAAAAAATACTTGGGCCATGGCCGAAGCCTTTCCCCGTAACAATAAACTACTGTATACTATTAACAGTACGGAATACAGCTTAATTGGTAGAAAACGTTGCATGTCCGAGAGAAATGAGAATAGAAACCTATTTGATATTATGCCTACCAGCTCCATAGAGCTCTGATAATGCAGAAATAATAAATTTTATACATGCGAATGCATTGAATATAAAAACACATTAATAAAAATAGGCGGAAAATATATTATATAAAACCTTTACTTTCACTATGGCAAAGTTTTCGTGAGAACAAATTTTACCATTGCATGGTAAATAAATCAGTCTACGATTTGTAAGAAATGTTTGAGGGAACTATAACTCAATGTTAAACACTGAATCTTACAAAGTTTTCAAAACTTAGAATTTGCCTTTGCAAATTAAAATTCCTTATGTAATCACTGAGAAACTTGACAGTGTAAACCTGCCTTAATATATACAATCATTATTTTAAAAAATCATGGAGTTGTGAATGATTATCTATAACTGATGCAATTTTAAACCGAATGCTGCATTTATACTGTAACACACCGTTAACCCTACCTTAAGGTAGCTCCCAGCAGTTTCCTAAGGTATACTATTCTTTCTGGTCTTTTTTCAGCAACGTATCCGACCTGAAATTTAAAATAATTTCTCCACAAAAAGAACTAAATTTACACAGCAGTTATCTTTGACACAAATAATTCGTGTTGGCAATTTTAATTGCGCGCTGTTCCTATGGTATTTAACTGTATTTTATTGACGCTATAAAGTTAAATGGTCAATTTTTTGATAGAGGACCATATAACATTTCGGCTTGCATATTGTATAATGACAAAAACAATTTTTCAATAGCAGACTAGTACTTAGCTCATCTAGTACTTAGCTCGTCTTGAGTAAATCTATAACCTGCATTATTTAAGCTTGCGACATTCCATTTATGTTTAATTTACTGAATAGCTTTAACCTTATCGAGGTCCTAAAGAAAAAGCAATGAGGGTCACCTCTTACTACAGTATAAAACCTAGACCAACTTTACCTATATTGGATAGCGTCTAAACTGTTTTCCGGCATAGAGGCCATCGCTCAGTCACTGACTGATCCAGTGTTACCACAGGAGGAAACCTAAGCTTACAAACTGATTTCACTTATGCCATTTACTCTGATTATATTGAGTTATAAATTTTTGTTGGTTCGGTAAGAAACATGCATTCACTTGTTTTTCCCTTGTTCAGTGGCGCACAAACAAAAACGCGCTTTAGGACATGCAGCTGTTAAATAGATCTGGGGCCGGTTGTATAAAAAAAGTGATACGTCATCCAATAAGAAGCGCCTATTTGAGAGTTAATCACTATTTAACTACAAGATAGTGATTAAAAAAGTGATTAAGAGTTTTATACAACCGGCCCCAGACTTGGAACTATGCCAGTCATCCAGTTTAATCAATCAGTCATCCATTATATTACCGACAGAAAAATCCAATTCTTGTTCACTCGACCGCACCATTCGGGACTCCAGCCCGCATTGAGCTATATATCGCTAGTCAACAGCAATCGATTTTAAGGCTAGCTGCACGAACTATTTTCTCGTTATACATCTTAAACGTTACTGATTCATTGTAGGAAGGATATTTCTTGCAATGTGCGAAAGAGCTGACGTTGGCAGAGTAAGAGATCATATTGGAAATTTTCTTTTCGTTCGGTTAAAATTGAGTCAGTTTGGTTTTTAGTTAATAAATGTTATATATAAAGAAAATAGATCATAGTGAATGAAAATATACCATCTCATATCTGTTTTTATCAATCCAAAGGCTAAGAGTAAGATACGAATATTTAGCAGATAGAGGAATACCATTTAATGACAAAATTACCACTGCGTAACCGTCAGAAACGGTGACAACAAAAGGATTGCAATATCTCGGATACTGATACATTACGTATATCTTGCGCGGCATTTGGATACTGATACAGTACAGTATATCTCTTGCGTGACATTTGCGTAGATTGACTGTTTATAGTGAGAATATCAGGCCGTCATAGAGTTTTCAATAGATATTCGCAGTCTGCCGTGAAAAAGAAATGTGCAGGTGTGCCGCGAGGCCTTATTAGGACTTGTTTAGAGCGAATGTAATGCGAATGTAATGAGTGCTAAGGCCTGTTTTGTGCGCGTCTAATTTAATTCAGGTTCTTACTGTGCTTTTTCTATGGAGGACATTCAATTAGACAGAACTATCTCTGGTAAACATGAATTTCGGAATTTGGTGCATAGGCATATACCATGAATATCTCCTATACACTTCCGGTCATTGTTTTCTTAGAACAAGTCACATCAGACTTTCAAATTAGAGGAAATACTATACGTGCGTAGGCTTAGCAACTGAAGCGTCTCGCTGCTGTTTGTCAGTCGAGCATTTGATTCGATATTGCATTAATGTTCAGATGATAATCTAATATCTACCAACCAGTAAGTGAAATAAAATTGGTATTATATTTGTATCAAATCAGATCCCAGTTTATGCATAGATAGTATATGTGTTGTATCACTGGTTAGTATCAATGGTATCCGTATTAAAATACCATACACATTGAGTAGCCATCATTGAATACTGTACGTATACTCAAGCTGTACAGATCTGTATGACTATTAATGTTCAATTTCTACTATGAGCTTTACTAAATAGCACATTTATCAATTCCACTAATTTTAATCTAATGCTATGACCAATTTGCTATATTTTTTGAAGCTCTCAGTTTCATATAAACATGTGAAGTGAAGACGGAAAATCGAATTCACCGAAATGCTTTGATTATAATATTTATAATAATTATATAGACAAAAGGGCCATTTATACGGAACAAAATAAGACGCGACTTACATAAGACGCGACTTAGGTAAGACGCGAGTTTGTGGTATAAAAGGTACAAAATTCTTATGTAAGACGCGTCTTGGATAAGACGCGTCTTACATAAGATCAGGACTTTTAGCTGTTCTTATTTAAGTCGCGTCTTAAATAAGAAATTTTGGACAAAAAGTCTAACTACACATGCCAGAAACTTGAAACAACGTAAAATTTAATGCCTTGCATATTAAAACAAAAACAACCAAAACAACATTATAGCTATAGCAAATAAATAAGACCAAAGCCGTAGAAAACCATTTATGCGATAACTCCGCTTATTTAAGTCGCGTCTTATGTAAGTCGCGTCTTATTTTGTTCCGTATAAATGGCCCTAAAGTCGTTCGGGGTATGTATATATAAGGCATATTCTTTCAATTCAGTATAGATCAGTTTGTTTTATTTACTTTTAGTGAATTTGCTGGTACCATTATATACTATACCACATATAAATGTGTGGCGAATTAACCACAACCACGGGCGCGCCGTCTACTACGGAAGCGGAATATTCACCGCATTCTGTTATTTCTGTACTTTGATACGTCAAATACGAACTTTTTACTGATATTCTTTACACTGAGTTATTTCCTGTCCTTCTAACAAATTAAAACAACCAATATTTCGTACTCCCCATTTTTTTGGACAAATATTCAATATTTCTTAAATTTTAAAAGTGATATCTTTATTCAATATTTACTTCCACGCCCGATACATATCCGGACATTTGGAATTAGCATCATATTTATGGACGTCAGAAATTAAAGGTGACCTCTATATTTTCATTTCCAGGTATTAGAGAGGCTTGGTTGTATAGTAATATGTTATATCCTCATGTTTTGCGCATTAGAGTTATGAAATACGAATTTTTGGTTTAGGTTTAATTAAATTAGTTCACGTTTCCTCCTGTAGTAACAGACTAACAGTGAACTACAAACTAGTATTGAAGAAAAGGTTCTTAATACTGCACCTCTATGTCTATGGAAGTTATATGCAATTAATTAGACATATACTATCATGTATTCATGAGATTGATATAATTTCAAAATACGTTTAGGAAACTCAATGCAAACATATGTATAGACCGCATAGCATGAGTTATTTCCGGTGCATGCCACATTTCCACAGCAAACACCAAGCATTTGATGCACAGTGATATTCAGATAATAAGCGACTGATATTTACCATGCAGTAAGTGAAATCAAATGTGAAATCAAAATATTATATTTGTATCAATGGTGAGTAAATACCAGACTAATCGACATCAAGATTATATACAAGATATGTTTATAATCTAGACTATACGACTGTAATTGTTTTATTTCTAGTAAGTAGTATGTATATATACTTTACTCGAATAACACATTTATCAGACTTACCAATTTCAGCTATGTTTAGTTAATGCTATGATAGAGATATATGCGTTTAATTTCAGGTTCTTTTACAGAAATATTTGGAAGTGGAAGACTGAAGATCGAATTCATCGAAATGTTATGATTATTATATTTGTATAGACGAAAATCGTTCCAGGTATGTATGTATAGGCAATATTCTTTCATTTTAGTACATAGTGAGTATATGTCGCTGGTACCAAAAAACCGTATGGTGAACCACAACCGCCGTTCACGACATGCACATCCGCGGGGGCGCAATATTTAAATATTCTGTATTCTTTTAACACTCAGTTCAAACGTTCTCTTTGATGTTCATTATTCTGAGTTTGTCTATTCTTAGTCCTTACAAAGCAGCCAATATTCCCAAATTCTTTAAAATTTAAAAGCGACATCTTTATTTATTCAATACTCCACTCCCAGTACATGCAGACATCCGGGAACAGGTCCTGGAATTGTAGATACGCTATAATGTTTTATTATTTTATTAAATATGCTAGCTGACAAAAAGTGATGGCTGGAAAGAATGAAGATGAAAAAATGCTAAATGTTCTAGATGTTCTAGATGATGTGGAACGTGCTGGCAATAATGAACAAGTAAGTTTTAAACACCCTTCAAATACCTTAAATCCGGCTACATTAAACCCCCTCTCTAAGTGCACTGATCACATCTACAGGGTGTCCAGAAAACCCGAAACTATTGAAATAATGTATTGTTAGAATTTGAATGCCTCATCCGACTCTGCTGAACCCACACGTGCATCAAAGAATGACGTAAGTAAATAGTTTATGCATAAAGAACCGTATAAGAAGCTGTTTTAAATTCCCAACAGCAGAAAATCGTGCGCTTTACAAAGATATTTTAATTTCTTAATAAGTCAATATTTTACGAATCTTTGCGTTCAGCTTAGTGCTAGAGCATTCAAACTTTTAACAATACGTTAATTCAATGGTTTTGCGGGTTTTTTTGGGACACTGTGTATTAATAACCCCCGCCCCCAAATGTACCGAACTAAATAGTTCTGCCCCATGACGTTTTCAACCCCTAGATATTTATACAGTTACTAGAATAGAAAAATGACTTACATATAGCATAGGCATGGCATCAGTGAGTAATGAGTGTATTATAACAAACCTTTAAATTCGTATAAGCTCTCATCTTCAAACAGTACAAAACAACGCGTTTTCTAAGTATTTCAATACTTTACAGGGGAAAAGCAGAGACCAAGCTAACTTTGATGCAGCAATTGTACAAATTAATGCCATTCAAAATGCCACGTGGGAATTTGTCGTCAACCATTACTCCCAAGAAGAGATTTCAATCGAAGCAAATTGGCCGGAAAAATTTTGTCTTTGCGTGACCTCTATTATCAAAGCGTACCAAGGAAAATTAGAGGAAGTAGAAGGTTTAAACAGAGTCATAAAAGTGTTGAAAACCAAAAACCAAGGCCAGAACCAAGAAATAAGAAAACTTCAACATACTATCACTGAACTACGTAATCAATTAGCTTCTGCATGCGAAGAATGTAAAGGAAAATTACCAGAAAAATTACGTTCTTTATCATTGAAAGAAACTGAGGTAATAATTCCCATTGTATCACGATTAAGTCGGTTTTCTTTGATGTACCACAGTGAATAAATCGTGCGTATATATATGTACCTCGAACTACCAGTTCAGGGGCATTAGCGAGCTTAAGCAAGCAACGCTTTTGACAATCTCGTTCCCCGAGCCTGCGATCCTCGGGAAGGAACGCGAGGCTCTGGGATAATCCGTTTCAGGGAGGAATCTGATTGGCCGTTCAAATGGAATGCGTAGTTCAATCTTAGCCAGGATTACTGGCTTCCGGCAACGTATTATCCCAGAGCCTCGCGTTCCTTCCCGAGGATCGCAGGCTCGGGGAACGAGATTGTGCTTTTGACAACACGAACGTTGACCGGAAGCAAATTTGACGTTATCAGCCAACCAACATTCTTGACCCATGAGTCTTTTCACGTTAAGGCCCATACAGACCGAACGCGATTCGACAACGTCAACGCGAATTTTCAGTTTTTGAAAACCGATAAAAACCGTCAACGGATAAAAATTTTACAAGATATGCAGACCAAATAGCTAACATTGCTTAAGTGGTTCTGAATATTTGAAAGAATAGTAAAGTTAAATGCCATTGAAAATCTAAAATTCGCGTCGCGTTGCCGAATCGCGTCCGGTCTGTATGGGCCATTACTCATGCCGTTCGTGTTGTCAAAAAGACCAAAAACGTCGGTTGCTTAAGCTCGCTATTGTCTAATATGAACTCAGGATGCAATAATAAGTCACTAGCTAGAATTAAAAATTAAATCAGTGCTACCATATTGGTCTTGTTGATGCGACCTAACATAAAAAAACAGCACTGGAAATAGGTACCCATTTATTTTTAGACTTAACTTTCATTTGTTTTGCAGTCTTCACCAACGCCGGGTGAAACAGAAGTTGATGGACGGGCGGGAGAAAGTACAGATACAAATCAAAAGACGCCACTTGAAAACGAAGAAACTGGTGCAAACGAAAAGCAAATGGGTGTAAGTTGATTACAAGTTTTATAAATCCCAAACGTTTCCCACTTTTGTTACTATAGCCATAGCCTTTCCTTTCGTTTTATCCTTATGTTTGATCATATAATAAACGAGAAAGCGTTTATATTTGCCGGCGTATAAAACATTGAAAAGTTGGTTGAAAAACGAGGCGAGTTTCTTCATATACCGTATTTTCCCTTTATAGCCCCTAGGGGCTTAATTTTCCCAGTGGTTTTAGACTGGGGACTTACTAAAAAAGGGGGGCTAAATGGAAACTGGGGGTTAAGTAAATTTTCAAGTTCTTGTAAAAAACATCAAGTTACAGGACCATCATTTAGAGGAACATTTTGAGAAATTTTCATACAATTTACCATTTAGCCATGTCAGTGAACGCTAAATATACAAATACAACAATACCTGTGAATGTCCTATAAAGAATGCATGCGTGGGTTCATATTCCCCTGTAAGTTTATATTGAGAATGATTTAATTAACATAGGATGGGATCTAAATAGAGGGAGGGGGAGAGGTAAGAGTCGTAAGAGCCTGGGACGAAGTAAATTTTGTTTCAGCGCTTCTAAACTGGGGATTAATTAGAAGGGGACCTAAAAAGAGGCTGGGGGCTAAATAGAGGAAATACGGTACATACTCTGAGGTGTTTTATACGCCGATAATAAACAGTTATGGAGTTCATTATATCACTTCTCAAAGAGAAATTCAAGATGAAAGTGAAGTGAATTTATGAAACTTTATTCCTGTGGTGCCAAGACAAAGATACGATGTTGGTTTCCTTTGTGTTTTGCTTATGATCTATTAAGGAGTTTGAGAAGAACATTTCCCTGTTTTCTTCGCTTGGTGGAATATACTTCTCTATAAGGGTGGATGCTTGAATAAAATCTGATATTAGGTTAAACCTAGACAAACCAAACTTGAGTTGATTATTTGATAGTGTATCGTAGGTAATGTAAACTATAAAATTCGAAATTCATTTTTTCAAACTTTCTTTGCATTTTTGCTGAGACTTCATCTTCTAAAATGTTGAAATTGACTTGCAGTATAACTAAACTGTAAACTGTATAGTTTGCATTGGGGCATGCATTGCAATACCAGTAAATCAACTGTCGTTTTGGCTGAACAGGTTTATTCGAATAAATTTCATCCTCGTACAAATTACATTCATGCATGGCCCACAATATGACTTCTGATACACTCCATGTTTATTTGTAGGGGTCAAAATTTTCATATTTGTCTAGTATAAGATGTCCTCAAGCCTCGTGTGGGCTTGTTGCACTTCTGTGTTTGTTTAACAAAAAGAACATCCACTTCTGCCCAACACAATTCATCCAAAAGGTAGCACTAACAACCCGTCATTTGGACCAAAGCTGCACGAAGATCTTGAACCATCTTTTAAACTTGGGTTTCCTTAAGCGACCTTACAAGTGCGAACGAATCGACGAAGTCGAAGGAGGACATAACGAAGTACTAAAAATAGCTGCAAAAGAATTGATTAAATCAGGCCAAGAAGTGGGGTTATTGTCCTATTCAACTGAAGAATATAATCATTGCGTTACAGTATATATTACAGACCCAAAGGAAGCTACAATGAAAGTTATCGATGACGACGAACATCTCAACATGGAAAATATCAAAGATTTAGACCAAATTCGTAGTCTTGAAATAATCGTTTTGAAATGTTACAAAGATGGCATACCTTCGATCAAGAAGAATTGGGGGAGCCATTGTCATATAAACAATTGTATATACGCGTTCACACAACTTTCACAACCAGAAAATAATGAAATATCGAATTTATCCTTGGATTTAACCAACGCAAGGGTTTGAAGTTGAACAGTTACAAAGCATACATTAGGTATTTTAAGTAAAAAATTATCAGCTTTTTGCCTGTTGGACAAAAATAATTCTTAATAATGTAAATTTGTAATTTGTATGGATTTTTATTGCTTTTGTCCTTTGGTAAAACATCTACCATGCAAATAACTAAATTTGTGTAAAAATAGACATATAGCTAATAATAAATAAACAGGGTTAAAAAGGAAGGTGCACTTCAAAGAGTGACAAACCAAACTTCAACTGACACTGAAAGGGACGAGGAGGATCACAAATCAGATCTTTTGTCTAAAGCCCTGTTCAAACGGATCCAACATTGTTGGGCCAACAACATCCAACATTGTTGAAATAATGGCCGAAACGGCTTCTTTTTCAAATATTTTTGTCAAGACTAGGTTTAGAGTTTGAGTAAAGCTTATCTAACCAAAAAGATTCGAAAGAGAAGCAGGCCTTAAGGTTTATCAGTTCCACCAGGTTCAACGTTTCAACCTCCGTTTTTTGTGTGTTCGCCAGTCTGCACGGCAACTCAAAAGCTATCAAACATTTTAACACAATGGCCGTAGGCAAAGTATATAGATCGATTAAATTTTAATTAAATTTGGATGAAATATTTTAAAAAGTTTGTCTTGCTTGAAACGAAATGGGGTGGGTTGTACGAAGGCTGGATAGCACTATCCACCAGATAGTGATTTCTTCAGCTGTTGCAACTGGAAAATTTTATGGAAAAAGGTTAGAAATTCAATTTCCGAAGTTTTGCACACTTCCATGGTGTGGAAATTTTCCAGAAAAAGCGTGGAACATTTCTAGAAAACCAAAGCACGGAAATGTTTCGAATTTTCCAGAGAATGCTTGAAAAGCTGACTGTAAAACTATGGATACGAAACTTCAATTTATAAATACTAAAGTTCAATGTGGGTTATACCTGCAATCAACGGGAAATTCTAGATAGCTTAAAAAATCACTATCCGACAACCAGCCCCAGAATGCGTAATCAGTGCATATACGCTTTCGTAATTTATACATGAATAATTGGCTTTTGGAAAAGGTATGTAGTTTCTGAGTGCCTTCTAGGCAGTTAAATATAAAACCGATTACCGATGATCACTTCATTTATATAACATTTAAACAAAAAAATACGGTTATTACGCTCAAATATTGTACAAGTACGACAAAAACCAATTTGAGTTACATGCAATTAAAGATAGTTATAGCTTAACTTATTTTTATTCGGAGTCTGGAACACGAACTTTTTAATCATTGGTTATTAAACCAAAAACCAAAGTAACTGACATGACTCGTGTCATCCTTCTCCCTCATATAAAGTTTCAATGTATTTCATGACCTTGACCAGCGCAGCGACAGGATAGGGAAACAAGCCTTTAGATGACATTCGTTCGATGGCATAACGAAGACGAATTAAGCAAGTTAATGTCTGTTGTATTTTATTCATATTGGACAGCACCACACGACCATCACCATCATTATCATCACTATCATCAGCAATTTCATCACAACCATCACTATCATCATAAACACCATTACCATCATCATTATCACCAAATTCATTACCATCATCAAAACCACCATCACCACTCTCAATATAACCAATTTCATGGCCATCATAAAAACCACCACCAACATCATCACCATCATCACCACCATCATCATCACCACCACCATTGCGAATAACAGACCCATCACCACCAAAACCACCATAAACATCATCACCACAACCATCATCATGATCACCACCATCAGCACTAAATGGTTTTACAGTCCCACAAAACTGTTTGGTACTACAACATGAAAACTCAGAACCATCCCCTTTTGGTACTTGCACAGTACCCGATGGCTGTAGCCTCTCTTCTTTGGACAAAACTTGCCTTCGCTCAACATTTTCTATAAAGCCATGCCAGTCATTAGCCAGGTGTCGAAGATAGTTGTGGAAATATGATAAGAAATGCGTTTCATTGGAGATCAAAAAGTCCAGTAACAGAGAATGATCATAGTTGATAGATGTTAGAAATTCCGTAAAGAAGTCATGTGGGTTGAGCGAATTACGTAGACGATTTGCCCAAGATGGTACAGGCTGTAAACTGTAAATGAAATGTAAATTAAAAACTTATAACAGATCTGCACAACATGAGAAAATAAAATTTTCTCAGAAAGAAAATGTCTACCTCACAATGCAAAATCTAAAGCCTTATACCTTTTACCACAAAACAATTCTTGATAGAGTTGTAGAAGAGAGAACAACAAGTAGATCAATTCATCATCCTGCTCAGAAAACAACTGGACCAACCAAACTGCAACAGATTGCAACTCAGGATGTGATACCTCTGTGACAAAATTTAACCAGCTTTCAATGATCCTTGACGAGTCATTTTGTGTACGCAATGTAACCAGCATCAATTTAAGTACCAGCAACAAAACCTTTCTCAAACTAACTTCATCATATGAATGACTACAAACATCCAAGGTTTCTTGTTTCCCACTGTGGTCCTTGCCACCAAAATGAACTTCACCCATAACCTGCGGTATACTCCCCAACAGCCTACTACCACTCTCAACCAAGACACTACAAACTCCTGCAGTCCATAGAGTTCCTTCATGAACAAAGTTTGTTTTCTCCCTACTGACACAGCGTTCTGAGATAGCACTAACAAAATCGTTCAAGAATTGAAAAACAGTTCGGCTAAAATGTAGCAAACACTTCTTGTGATCAATTTCAACTAACTGTATCACAATTTTCTCCAAGAATACTTTCAGTTTATAATCATGTGTACATCTAACCTCACCACCGTAGACTGACTGATTCATATAGTCATCTTTAAAAATAGCATTTTGACACATTTGGCAACTATGTAATTCTGAGTTACTCAAATTTTCATTTCCACAAATTCTAGCACGCTTAGCACTTTTTGAAGTTTCGCCAATTTGCAAATCCATCTTCTCGCAATCGACATTAAGTGAACTATTTTCTGTGGTTTGTTTAATGACATTTTCTGCATGTACGTTCATATTCTGATTGGCTAAAAGCAAGTCAAATGATTCAATGAAAAGTTTTCCATAAGAAAGCATCGTTATAAGAATTTGTTGAAAAGGGTCAAACTTAGACACAGATACGTCTCCCACTACTGAATTTTCAGCTTTCAAAACAGTTGATAACCTGGCTAAAAAGTGATAGGTCAGTTTTAACCAATGACAGCACAATGCACTCCGGATTTCTTTTGCACATGTTCGATCACTGTGTCCCTCATCCAACATACAACAACATAATGTCTTATGACTTTCAGAGCTATCTTTGTGAATAAATAAGCATTTTATTATCTCTGCAGTATAAACAGGTAGCCACTTGCTACAATTCTCGCTACCGTCCGACAAACTCATATTAAGTAATTTTTCAAACTGAACCCACATCACTGAATTTGGGAAGCATTTACATACTTCACACAAAACTTTGTAGCTCTGAAATGCAATGAAATGGTCATGACAGTTTAGACAATTTCTTAAAACTCTAAAGAGGCAACCATTTTCCTTGCAAATTATCTTGAAAAGCTTCAAAAATGTAGGACAAACACACGGTTTTAACCCAGCACGGCAGATGTTCCACAATATATCTAGATTGCAAACTATGTCATCTCTAATTGAAATATTTCTCTCATATTTATGAAGCACATTTGTTTCAGGCTTTTGAAGTTCATATTTCTCGAGTTTCTTGTGCACATTTTCGCAGTAATCCGTAAATTTCTGCAGAAATAACAACTCCGTCAAGTCTGTTGAAGATTCCAGCAACAACTTAAAACATTTATCACTTTTTATCGCTTGGTTTATTTCTTGTAGAAATAGATTTTGTTCAAATTTTTCCGCCATGATGGTGTGCGTGTGTCCATAATATTACTGCTTACATGAAGATATTACACTTTTCTGTAAACGCTGACCAAAAATAACACATTTTCTTAAAATCTAATTTTAATTAATTGATTGAGTTTTTAATTAATAATTAATAAACTATTTTAATTTTAAAAACCATCCAAGTTGAATGGTTATGCCGATAATATTCAAAGGCATAACCATCATGGCATCATCCTCGGTCCCAGGGCTCACGGCTGACACTCCGGCAACGCAGTGTCAGCCGTGAGGCCCTGGGACCGAGGATGTCATGGCATCCAAGTTGAATCAAAGATTAGGTTGAATGGTTATGCTGATAACCTCTGGCTGATAACATTCAAAGGCATTGAAGAACCGTACGGGCCGGTGCTGTAGTTTCATGAGCGTCACCAGATACATGCAGATCTGTAGGCGTAGAAATTTTATGATAGTTATGGAATATCGGTTACTGTACTACTATTTAAGCAGTTGCTTTAAAGTACGCCTGTTCTGATTCTCCCTCCGTTAATAAAGTCCAGCCTCCACTCTCTCCTTAGATGCTGTACAGTCCGATCTGCGCATGTGCACATATATGAGCCCTCTTTTTATTATACAAACAGTTTATTTAGGTTATTTCATTTCATTTTATGTTCTTGCAAAGCTCGATTGTTATGTCTTGATAATTTACTATTCTAGAAGACCTAGAATCATGAAAATATAACTAGTTATGGAATAAAATTCAATATTTTGTATACCGAAATGTAAACAAAGCCTACGTCCTTACATACGGACTGTACCGCATCTTTAAGGGCCCTTACCGTACCATAAATCGGCTCACAACCACCCCCCCCCCCCACCTCTAAAGTTGCAATGCCCCGGGGGTAATAATATAATAACACATAATTTGCAGAATCACAGATTCAACAAATAAATTAAAATAATTACGAACAAATTACATCCTGCGTTCGAAGCAGCCGGAAGGAAAACAATGTCTGCACCAAGAAGAGCAGCCCCTCCTCCGCCTAGCCGGCCAGGTAAATCATAATTTTTCTCAATTTTAAACACTCTTTTCTTTTCCTAAAACATTTCACTTCTTGTTAAGGACAAGTGCAAGTCGTTCGCGCCCTCTACAGATACGAAGCTCAACAGGTTTGGTTCGAAATCATTGTCTTTTTAAGATATGCCACGAACAGGAAATAGATTTAACTTGAAAACATCTTTGAAGAATTTTTTTTTTATTTCAAGTCGACGCTTGTTTTTTGTAGAAAGATGAGCTAGCCTTCGAGGAAGGAGATGTTTTATATATTATAGATAAGGTTTGGTGTGGTTTGTGGCTAATAATTTACACTGGTTTTATAGTTTGTCAGATGACATATGTTGACATTTGACTACTTAGTCAACTTGATGTTTAATTGTTTATTATTAACCCATTGAGTTGCATTGTGCCCTAGTTTCCTACTTGATGTCTAGTGCCAGACGGTTTTAATCGCCAAGGAGAGAGCGTTGGTGGCTTGGTGCTCAATGGGTTAATTTAATTTATTGTCTGATCATTTGATAGTATACAGACAATCGAATAATCTTACATTTTGATAGTACACACAATACAGACAATCGAATAATTTGTTAGTACATATAATCTAATCATTTTATAGTACAGATAATCCAGACACATATGTCTTGTTGGATTATCACAAAAGAACCCCCCCCCCAGTGTGAGGGATAAAAATTACTAGAAAAACCTGCCATAAAAACAGCCAACTCCTTTATTTCTCTAGTCACAAGGTGAATGGTGGCAAGCAAGAGTTCGAAACAAAGTTGGTTTGATACCATCAAATTATGGTACGATGATCAAATTAGTGACTTGAATAAGACAATACGAAATTCCAATTTAATTTATATCATCCTAATTATATCACTATTGTTACAAATTATGTGTGCAAACAATCATAAAAAACCTTTGTGTAACATTATTTATGCATATATGTGGTATATATTTTATAGTTGAGGCTCACACAGAAGCAGTTGAAAATCCACTTCACGAGGCTGCAAAGAGAGGTTTGAATTTGCTTGTTAGCATTGTGACTGGCGAAATGCTTTTTTTTGCTTGACGTCATTTAAATTTGTTTTGTAGGAAATGTGACGTTTTTGAATGAATGCCTGGGAAACAAAGTATGGATTTAAAGTAGAACTATGTCTATTTGAATATTCATATACTGGTGTTTTGATCTTTTTACGAGTATGTTGGGCCAGGCAAGCGGAAAATTCTACGTGGCTGAGAACCGAATGGCTGAAATTAACCATGGCTGAGAACCGAACCTGTGACCTTCGCATTTTCAGAACAATGCTAACAGGACCAAGTTGGGAAAATTTGCTCACTTTTAGTGTTAACAACATTTCAGAATTTCTTCCTTCTCAGTTATTACTCCTGCCATTATACTGTAAACACTCTTGGATTGTAGCTTATTCACTATGAGTAGCTTAAGTTGATATCACATAATTATAGTGCCCGCTACCCACCATGTATTTTGTGAATGACCGCCGTGTCATATTTACAGGTATCGGTCAATGGGCTAGATAAAGCAGGTTGTACGCCGCTGCATTGGGCAGCACAGGGTGGCCATACAGGTATCGCGAAAACTTATGCTCAACCAAATATATATTCAAATGATGTTTATCACTAGTCTTATATTATGCTTAATTTTTTATAAAATTGTTTTCAGAATGTGTTAGCATACTGCTACAGCAAAACAGAATTGAAATAAATAGTCAGGTATTAAAAAACACACATTATACAGCCTCCCGTATTCAGCAAGGATGTCAAAACTTACTGTTCTAAAAACGTGGGCAAGGCCACTTATTCGTGTCATCAAAATAGATGTCACCTGAAAAAGTCATATTACATAGTTACTCATAAGTGAGCATTTGATGAAGAACTAATTGCTACCAGTACACTTTACTGAATGAAGCTCATTAATTTATTTTCATTTAATTAAGAACAAACTTGGCGACACTCCGTTACACTCGGCCGCATGGAAGGGACATGCTGATATAGTGCAAATGCTTTTAGACAAAGGTAAACTGTCATGTTGGTACACACTGCAAAAACTGTAACCCTTTAAATGGTAATGCACCCCAATGCATCCTACGCTCTTTTATTTTTTCTAATGCCAGACAATTGGAGAGAACACTGGTGTTAAAAATGAACCATTCTAAAATAAGTCCCTAACTTAAAACCTGACACATGTCTCTTTACAGTTTACATAAAATGAAACATTTTACACAACCATAATTTGTTAATTAAACACAATTATTTTTCAGGAGGTGATACAAAAATTAAAAACAATGCTAAAAGAACTCCTTTCGAACTTGCTAAAGATCCTGAATGTGGTCGACTGTTAAGAGGAGCAATAGGTAACTTATAATATACTGCATTTAGTAAATGTAGAATTTATGAAGGTTTGGATTGGGTTATGTATAGTTGAACATTTAATCATGGGTGTCAGGTGTTGGGATCGAAAGGTAACCAAAGTAAAGTATTTTTGGTTGCCTGCATGCTAATATTGCCCCCCACCTCATATTCTCCCTAAGGAACTGTTGACATACCTAACTAATTTCCATGTGCCTTTTAGCTTCTGATGCGAATGATGATTATGGAGATGAAAACGACTCAGATTAGAATGAAATATCTATATGCAATAAAAAAAAACTTGTAGAAATGACAGGCTGAATTAATTGATGTTTATTGCTTGACAGGTGTGACACACTTGATCAAGCACTAGGGTTATGGCTGGATAAAGTTTTGATATGGTTAAAGGATGGTTAAAGATATTTCTAGCCCTTGGGCTAAAACATGCATAAGTACAATCAAGTTCTGGGACTGGGTGACATTTTGAACCTATATAGGATTGAAGTTTTCATCAAGTCTTGGAGCTCAATATATAATTTTGAACAAGTCTTGTTCGAAACTATATATCGAGTCTTACATACACTTTGAACAACAAGTCTGTGACTGGATAAAGTTTTGATGTTAAAAAGTTCTGGAACCAGAGTTTTAACATGTCGCAACAAGAGTCAAATAATTTCATTACATCATAGTTCTATTTATATCACACTAATTACATCATTCATGGATTGAAATAGTACTATAGTCTTGCTTTATTTTTAATTATGAACTAATGTATGGTAATAACAAACACTGTTTGTTCAAAATGAGTTTTTAATAAATTTTGTCAAACTTTTCAATGGAGTTTAATTTTTTTTGTTGTGTAACATTCACATACAAGAGGCAGGGTCTGTTTCCAGCATATTTTCCCAAGATCAATTTTGTTATTCTTCCAAACCGAGAACATCAATTACATTTAAATCCTTTCCACACAATTATCATTATAAATTTTAATTGTGGAGACTATAGCAATTGCAAATTTTTTGGAGTTGTTTTGGACAGATGGTTCAGCTATCAATTAAGACAAACATTGGGTCACCCTGTAGGATGGCAGGGTTAAATATACCAAATACCCAAAATTATTTCAATGTAAATTTACCCTATAGCCGAATTTGAAACCCATTAGATACACTATACCCAAAACCGCCCAGCCAACCCCAATCTGCATAGGCATCAATACAAACAAGCTTGTAAATGTAGTTCATCTTGACAAATGATTTACATATACAAATAATAGATTCTAGCTGGTTTGTATATCGATAATACTATATATAGTGATGGACGATTTGCCACACATACGATGCCTTTCGACCACAATGTGTATTTAATGATGTGATATGTATGTCTTTTTGATTATCTGCCCTTTAATTAATAATCTAGCCAATCAATATTATTGATGATTGTATAAGTTCTATTTAATATAGTAAATTTTAAATATTTCCAAATTCTATTATCTGTTTGTCCTAAGTCTTGTAGACATTGCACTATCATTCTTAACAATGGGCGGCAAAACTACAGTATTTCTTGTCCTCGACATATCTAAAGTCCCCTTTTCTTGCGCTTTCACTCCGCCTGACAAACTCTCATCTTTTAAATGTTGTTTTAATCTTTTATTCAGCGCCAAAGCTTTGCCCAAAAGTTCGTCTAATTCATGGTCTGATAAATTATCCAAAGCTTCTAACATCGGTTCGTCTTCGCACGAATCTGTCGTTTCTTGTTCCGCAAAGGATACTTCTGAATCGTTCCTTGTTTTCAAAAAATATTCTTGCTCTTTTGACTTCGAATGGCCATTCTCCAAATTTTGCGACGGACTTTCATCGCTGTTTTCTCCATTTTCATATTTTAATGTAGGTAATCGGAATGTCGACATAACGGTTTATAAATTGCTTATAAATTTCAAAGAAATAATGCAGAATAAAGCAGAAATAATCCTTGTTTAAATTTTCAAATCCATCCGTTTGTTTTGTCGTTTGACATTTGACAAATGGGATGAATATTAATTAGGTAATCGAATCGTTACTATGGAAACCACGTGTGGTTGAAGTTAACACCTGTTATCCACATTTATCCATCTAGGTTTTGTGTTTTGATATTTAATTAAATTAATTTAATCCACTTAAATTTGGATTAATTAATCCACTCTATAACCCGTTAAGTTTGAAAAAATAATTGCTACGGTTCAACCACAGATAGGTTCAACTACTGTTCAGGATATAGCTATCTTTTTTAGGTATTAGTTTAATTTAGACACCAATTAAACTTCTAGGACTAAAATACGAGCAAAATATATTATGGTCTAGTTAGTCTAGGGATGACCGACATGTCTCACAGTCGAAACGCATCGAATATCAATTGAAACAAGATACACAACACATAAAGCAACACAGTCCGGAAATGAAAGCTTCACAATGAGAAAATAAATGTGACTTCGTTCTATTTTAATACCGTAATGCAGAATTCATATATTGAACTGGAACTATGGCTGGAGGCAGATTTAGTTTAATTTGCTTGTTCTATCAACTGAATATTGCTGAAGTTGATTGCCATATGCTGTTACCCTCGCTAAAGCTACCCATAAACAGTAGAAATATTAGTAAACGTTTTACCTTCATAATTGTACCGCCATAACCAGAATTATTTGAGCACATCACGGAAATAGCACAAAGTCAAATACCATATTCCATAAATCTGGTAAAACCACAGGTATATACTATTGACCAAACGCCGTACATCTGGAACTGCCTTTATGTTTTCCTAGTCGAATCCAATAATGCAATGTGTATACCAAAAGCAATATGTATATTAAAACGTTGTAGTTTTCACCAATTTTCAGACAGGCGACGCCACCCATTTTGTGTGTTGTTCAACAAGTTCTTTACAAAAAAGCAATAACAAGCCGGTGTTTTAGCTTATACACTCAGCTCAGACAACATACACTTAAAGTTGCTTCACTGGTGTACAAAACAGTAGTTCTTTCATAGTTTTTTGGCCACATTTCGCCAGACTAAGACAACATTATTTCGTATCTTGCCCATATTCAAAACCATATTCACAGGTAATTACCTTCGCGAAGAGCATGGTCTAAAATTTGCACGATAATCTGCATACCGAATACCCAAGCTTGTTGAACCTTTTTGTCAAAATAATTTTTGTACTGAATTACGTTTGAAAATGTTAAAAATATGTCAAAACAATGACTGACCAGATGGCATGGAGAACAGTGCGATTTTCAAAACAATGAAAAGACAATGGAACATTCAGATCACTGGATCGTGACTGGTGGCATGGAGAACAGTGGGATTTTCGAAACAATGAAAAGACAATGGAACATTCAGATCACTGGATCGTGACTGGTGGCATGGAGAACAGTGGGATTTTCAAAACAATGAAAAGACAATGGAACATTCAGATCACTGGATCGTGACTGGTGGCATAGAGAACAGTGGGATTTTCAAAACAATGAAAAGACAATGGAACATTCAGATCACTGGATCGTGACTGGTGGCATGGAGAACAGTGGGATT